ATGTGCGGTTACTGACTGCACTCCTCTGCCCGTGGTCAGACGGAAACCGGTGATGCAGAGGCGGCGGTATTCGTGGACTAGCTGCTCCCTCCCCATGCCCCGGACCTCCTCTACTCGAGTAGCACGGCTTCGTCCAGGGTCGTGCTTGAATTCCTTATTGTCGCGCGAACTGTTAGTCGGGGGACGGGCGTAGCCGACGTCCATAGTCAAGCCCATCGCCCGTGCGCAAGCGCCGCATGCTCGTCCTGCTCGAACTCACCCCGCTGACCCAGCAGCCGCCGACGTGGGTAAAGCCCTCGTCACGACGGTGGAAGCGCCGGCGCGCACTCAGTCTCTCGGCGCCATCGCGCCTGACCGACGCAAACAGCACGAGCAGGAACTCCAACATCACCACCATCGTGACTGACGCACCTGGCCCGCACATGGCTTACGGGTTCCTCTCCATCACCCTCGCCTCGCTGCGAATCCTTCCTTTGCTCGCCGAACGCGTTCGGCTCGTGTTTGACGGTGCGCTGGCGTTGGTTAATTACTGAGAACAGCCCGACCAGTGACTGAAGACGCTATGGGTGCACACCCTCGTGCTCTGTCCCCTCCATGCTCTCAAAAGGAGTGCCACCCTCCTTCAGGTGCATCGATCAGCCCCGGCCTCAGGCTGGCACCGCACTGCTCGAAGGAGGCCGACGCGGCCGCCTACGCCGCGTACAAACGCCAGTCCATCGACAAGGCGAGCGGCGAGCTGCCGCACGGGGCTCAGGTGATTGAGCTGCCTCACCGTGCCTGCCTATCCGGCTCCATAAGGGCCGGTATGGCTGGCGTGAGCACCCCCTTCGTCGCCGTCCTGCAAAACGACATGCCAGTGAAGAGAAAATTCGACCTGTTCGCTCTTTTGGCGCTGATGGAGACGGAGCCGCGCGTAGAGAAGGTCCACTTCTCCGTCGGCATCAACCGGTGCCACGTCAGGAACTCCAAGGTGGTGTGCAAGGCACATCGAAGGATGGGACGCGCGAGCAACGTCTCGTACGCGCAGGAGAAGGGCGGAGGCGTCCTAACGAGGCTGACGCCCGTGCAGCAGTGGTTCGACGGCAACCATGTTGCCAGGCTCACCCACTACCAGCGCGTGCTCTCCATCGTGCCTGACGGCGTCTTCATGGAGGACAGGATGTTTTGCAAGCCGTGGGCCAACCACTCGCTGTGGGGCACCTTCCTGCTCGGGGCTCCCGATGACGGCCACTACTCCGGCCATCTCAACGGCGGCGGCCACAGAGCCCAGGGCTGCATGCAGCCTCCGTTTGGGGAGGGCAGCGGCCTTGTTGGAGGGGGCGGCGGCGGTGCGACAGTCGCGCTCCACAGCCTCCAGCCCGTGTATGCCATGCCAGTCACGTGAAAGGTAGTACTAGTAGACAGATCAGTGGGCGTCTTTGCGCTCGCGGATTTGGGTTCCTGCATCCAGCCTGCATGTGTGCTAAGCCCGCCATATCCTAACTGTGAGCGGCCACGCACACACCTTGGGCTCTGTAGCTCCATAGGCGGTCATAGCAGGTGCTCTCATATGATAATTGTGTGTACGGCTTTACCGTACGAACCGCGGTCGTACACGTGGTTTTCACTAGGGGTTTCAGAGACAGAGGACACCGAACGGATTCAAGCTGAAACACCGAGGTCACACGCGGCCCTCCCGGCTCGCCTTTCGCTCCTCCAGCGTGGCGCGCAGCTGCCGCCGCACCTCCTCCCTCTCCTCCGCAGTGAGCGGTCTCATATCGCCCGTCGCCGGCCTCCCTTCCGGCGTGCCCTCCCGCTCCGGCCGCTGAGCGAGTCGGTAGCGGCCTTTCCGGTCGGGCGGCAGCAGCTCCTAAGGAACGGCCCAAAAGGACAGTTCAGAAGAGGTTCAGGGAAGAGGCGCCTGCGGTCGTGCGGGCGGCACCTCCGACAGAACCGCCTGCGCCAGCGCCTTGTCGAGGCGCGCGTCGCCTCCTCGCACCCCAACAGCCTATACGCCACATGCCGACGCCGAGTGACAAAGTCTCGGCCGCGTCTCCGCCCCGCGCACTCGCCGTCTCCGCGCCGTCTCGAACTTGCCGCGGTACGGACCGCCGGCGTTCCACGGCCGCACCGCGCCCGGGTCGTCGGCGGCCGCCTGGCCAACCTTGCAGCCCTCCTCGAGCGGCCTGCCCGCCGCGGTCGCGGCCGTCGTGCTGAACCAGCGCGCGGCAATGTACCCCTTCACCCAAGCGAGGCTCGCCCCTCCGCCCTCGCCGTCTCCTCTCCGCGCCGCCGCCTCGACCGCCTCCATCGCCATCACCGGCCACGGCGGCGGGCGAGCGCCCTCCTCGCCCGCTGCCGCCTCTGGCGCCTGGACGGCTCTCGCCCGCCGCTGCGCTGCCGCCTCCTCTTGCTTGGCCGCGACAGCGTTCGCCTCAGCGAGCGCCTCCTCGACCGTGGTGTCGCGCTGCGGAGGCGCGGCCGCGGCGACGGCAGGCACGCGGCCGCCAGCCCGCACGGCGGCACCGCCGTCCTCCTCGCCCTCCTCCTCGCCGCTGCTCGTCTCGTCGCCGTCGCTCCCGCCGAGGAGCAGGCCGGAGAAGGCATTGCAAGGCGCGCCGCCAGCCTCCTCCTCCTCCTCCTCCTCCTCCTCTGAGGAGGAGGAGCCCTGCTCGTCCGAGGCCGCGTTCAGCGCCGCCCGAAGCCTGTCTGCAGCCTCGACGGCTGCGGAGGCGGCCTCGTCGCGAGCCGCCTTTGCACGGGCCGCCTCCTCCGCCGCCACGGCGGCCGCCGCCTCGCGTGCCTTCCTCCGCGCCTCCTTTTTACTCATGGGTGCGCCATCGCACTCCTGCGCTGGCGCTGCTACGACGGCTGGCTCCGCTGCCTCGACCTTGTCCTGCCTCCGGCTCGGCTGCGCTGGCCCGAGCACGTCAGCCGCTCGAACCTTCTTTGGCTTCAGCTTCTTCTTCGAGTAAGGCTTGCCGTCCGCAGCCGGCTCCGAGGGCGCTGCTCGTCGCTCCCGACCGTGCATGCGAACCCGGGAAAACCAGCGAGGCACGCACCGCGCCGTGACCTGTGCAAAAAAGAAAAATAAAAGCACCGCAAAAAGAAACCGCACGGGCGCCGACTCTCGCTTTTGTTCCATGCACAACGAGATCGCTGTCCTCTCAGGGCGCGTAGTCTCAGCAGTCCCCACCTGGACCTGCTCCGGCCCTGTCCCACCGGGTGGGACGGTGTGAGCCGCTGCCGACGGCCGACGGTGGCGGGCGGCGCAAGCGCCGCGCTCTTCAGCGTGCGTTCGCCTCTTCCCACTCCCGGATCATCCGGCGCAGCGTGTGGTTGGGGGCGAGGAAGCTGTGCACGAGCGCCTCGCCCGTCATCGGGCTCGTCGACTTGGTCGCGAGCCAGCGCTCGATCGCCGACCGCTCGTACGAATGCCCGTCCGCCGCCATCACCGGGTCGCTCATGAGCTCGGTCGTGATCGGGCAGATGAAGTCGGCCGGCGGCTCCTCCTCCCTCGGAGCCGGCGCCTCTGCAGCCGACGACGGCCCTTGTGCCTCCGCCGCCCGCCTCTCGTCCTCCAGCCTCGCGCTCTCCTCGAGCGCCGCCGCAAGCTCCGCCTCCTCCGCCGCCGCCACCGCGTCCTGCCGCCGCCTCCTCTGCCGGCGCCTCG